ATAGACCCATAGAGGAAAGGGGGCACCATCGCCTCAAGTCCTCCTGCTGATTGGAGAATTGGCAGCAGGCTTCTTTAAGTGATCCTATAAAAGAGAAATGTTCTCCTCTGGATGATCACTTGAGTGGTCAGTTTTTTATCTCAGGACAAGTTCTGTGGAAAAAAAAGATAGGGGGTAAATGAGACATTAAAGCCATCTGCTACTGTATATATTAGGAGTCAATGGCAGGTCTTCCAATACAAAAGAAAAAAAGTGGAAATAGCCTTTATTTATTAACATGGTAATTGTGGCGATCCCAAAGGAGAAATTCCTTGAAATTATAAGATAAAACTTAGACAACATAATTTCTTTCTGGAAAGCAAATCTTTCTTCAACAACAGTTGTTGTTGTCTTCTATAGACAACAGAGCATCTATATTTAAAGTGATCGGCAGAGTCTTCTCAGTCAAAGAATTCAGAGGTAAGTGAAGTTCTCTTCCACACTTTCCAGTTATTAAACCATTCCCAAATTGTGAGTACCTGAAATTCACACAGAGCATCATAAGATGAATTATGTTTATAACTTCTTACTCCTGAAATAGACCATTTCTGGGCTCAGGTAAATAGTTACAAAATTGTAATCAGAAATAAATTATACTTTGACTCCAAATCATATTATATTTATGAAAGGCTTTTGATGCAAACTCACAGTAGGTATTTAATGCTTTGTTTGTATGGATAAAGTGTCTATTCAGCTAGCTTTTCTTATTGTTTGAATAAGTATATTAGAAATATTACTTAATAATCATTAATTTGATACAAAGCTGAGATAGGTAATTATGAACTGCAGACTGTGCTCAACTATCTAGCAGTCCTCACACTGAACTCAATAAGCTTGACATTTGGGGCAAGATTTTACAGAATATATAGATATCTAAAGTTAGGAGTATCTGTAACCCTACGGTTGTGTGTGTGTGTGAAGATCTATCTATCTATCTATCTATCTATCTATCTATCTATCTATCTATCTATCTATC